CCTAATAAATTGCATATCATTTCACTCTCAAATGCTTCCGTATAAGTAAACATCTTAGCGCCCCGCCGCGTCACAATACAACACGGTATTGACAAACTGCCTATAATTCCCAATCAAACAATAGATTTATGAGCTCTTTAAGTATTGACCCATTTCTTTGATTGCAAACAATAGTTAACGATTTTATAGAAATCGTATTCGTGGGAAAGGTTCGAATTAAGTGACCTGCGCTGTCATCGACTATGGGCGGGTTTTTTTTTATTCGGAAGGCGTTGGTTCTTAAGTCAAGGGGCGTCTTGCGGTCGCTTTATTTCAATTATTTGAAGCATCGAGTGCTTTGTATTTTTATTATGCGAAATTCAATATTTCGCGGGAATTTTTTGTTTAATACTTTGTTTGACACCCAATTACAATGCCTTTTGAATATAGAATTTTACGATTAATTCAATTTAATTGTCTATGCCTATTGTATTAGTTTTTTTTATTCATTTTTCAAATGTTAATTAAACGTTGCCAGCTGACAAAAAAGCATCAAAAACTCAAAAGCAGATCTCCGCATTGAATTTGAAAAAACAATAGGATAATGAAATGCAGCGTAGGCGCGCAGTTGCACGCTTACGTTGCAAAGATTCAAAACATCTGACAAGAGTGAAAGCCAAAATATTGACTTGCAAAGTGCCGAGTTCGCGCACAATGCTCCCAGCAGGTTGTCCTTTGTGAAGGACCCTTCAGAATTCAACAATACTGGGAGTAATGTACTGCTTTTTTTCGCGATATAATTGTGAATCTAGGTGCTAGATAATTCTATGGGTCACTAAAAGGTTCTCGAATTAATTGTTTTTAGAAAACCTTTTCTCGGTACAATATTTTTTTAAGTAATTTAGAAAAATTAAAACAATCTCTACTTAACATTATTTAGCTTCATTGCGAACCCTCGTGATTGCGTGTCAAATTCTACTGAACTGATTTTGATGAAATTTACACTTCTCCCTAAGTCGGAATATACCTCGGATTTAAATTTTAATTAAATTTGTATACAACAATACAAATATACCAGTAACTGTATAAATATGAATATTTACAGAAACAATACTACAAGGCAAGTCGTAAAAAAACATTATTAAACTTACACAGTACATACTTACATTACAATTCTGCCCTGCGATTCTGTAACTCACTTTTCGAACTCACACAGCGGTTCTCGCATCGACGATCGCTCTCAAATCAGTCGTGAAGCAGCCATTTTATGATTTGGCATTCTGAAAAGGTGGGAGCTTGTAGTTTATTGTTTATCAGAATGCCAAATCATAAAATGGCTGCTTCACGACTGATTTGAGAGCGACCGCCGAAGCGAAAACCGCTGTGTGAGTTCGACAAGTGAGTTACAGAATCGCAGGGCTGTACTAAAATTAAACAAAAAGCGACAGACACCAATAAGAAAATTCATAGTAAAATTTAAACATACAAATAGTTATGATGTAATTGAAAAAGATTCCGTAAAACTGGAAACTGCGTAAGCCGATTAAAATGCAATTAAACATGTCCCATAGATCGTAGAAGACGGTAAATAAAAAATCTCTAAGCTTATTGAAAAGTATTTTCGCCCTACGTTCACGGCTTCTGAGCAAATATAAGATAATTTTTTCGCTTCACCTCACCCGGTATTTAGGGGGTACCTTTCATTTTTACGTTCGGAAGGTGCCCGGTGTAATGTAATTTATTTTGTATTCAAAACTCGACTTCAATATCGAGGACACGATTGTCGGTATGATGTTTCGAATTTAATTTTGTTACATTTGCGTATATTAATTTTTCGTCGTTTAAGATAGCTGAATCAATGAAAATCGATATTATAGTCTAGGTACAAGTATTGTTGTTGCCTTCTGTTTTGAATTATGATTGAATCTGAAACAAATATATACATAGGTCAGTTTTAAACCAGTACGCATTGTTAATAATTCTATAATTACAAGGTGGATTAAACTCCCGTACTTAATACATGTGTTAGTTGTGTGTGTTCATCATCATCATCAATGGTTGTACAGCCGCTTATGGGCCAGGCCTTAAGCCTTCGTAACTTGCGCCATCGCAATCTATCTCGTGCGTCCAACCTCGACCACCTATTGTTTCGAGATCCTTGACAACTCCATCCATCCAAAGGTTGTAAGTTCAGTAAGAGCCTTGGGGTTCTGTTATCCGCCATTCTGGGCACTTGACCCAACCACTTGACCCTGATGCATTTATAAATAGGGCTTATCTTAAGTAAGGATACATATTTTTTTCCAATTTAATCCAAAGTCAAAAGATCCTAAAAGAAACAAGTCCAAAGCTTATTATTTTTTTTTAGCAAAAGTTAGTACCTACCAAAAAAGTTTGTCTTTTTAATATACATACTGTATAACTGTATAGGTACTGTGCAACAGAGTTACACAATAAGACGATTTTCGTTTAACTAAACTTAAGTACTCACATAGTAAGCATACACCTGTAAGTAGGCAACTTAAGAAATATTAATTAAGCTTGCTTTAAGTAAGGGTACATAATCTTTTCCCAGTTTAATCCCAAGTCAAATGATCCTTGCAAAAAACGAATGTAAGCTTATCTTGACATATTTTGAGCAAAAAATACAGAACCATAATAAAAACTAATTCTCCGTGTATACCACAAAATCTATTTAAGTCCAACCAAATGCGAACCGATTGTTAACCGGACATTGTCTAAGTGCACTCTTATAAAGAAAATTAATATGTGTAAACAGATATAAACAAATTTACAGAAAGGGTTATTTACTAATTGGTGAATTAGTCGAGTACAATCGTGAAAACAAGTCAATGAGCGTGTAATACGAATTATGTGAGCGCTTACAGGTCCTTTGCGGAGTTTATTTTTTACAAACGGCCACTGCACAGACGTTTTTCACACATGGCCACACTTATACGACTCGCTTGTTTATGGTTATGCATAATTGTTTTTTACATTCTGTGGTCCTTTGATAACAGTGAATAGAGAAATTGCAAAATATTTTTATTTTTTGTTTATGACCTAATAATAATTTATTACTTTTTAGTGGCGGTTGCGTATGTGTGTCTTTGAACATAAGGGCCAAAACAGTTGTTTTTCAACAAGATTTAGTTTCTTTTATTAGTTTAATTGTTTTAAATTCAAACAAGACACAACAAGTTTTACAAAATGTTAAAATCATTATCAATAGATACTGTTAATTCTTGCAATAAAAACTCTTGTTAAATTTGCTTTCAATTAATTTGGATCAAACAAATAATTGATACGAATCATTGACTTTGTCACTTGGTCCTTGTTAAAAATTTCCATTTCATTTTGTTAGAAAATTTCTAAGTTGCAACCCCTTGAGAGCCATTTTTCTACTCGGACAGTCAAGATTGTCGACTTTTAATTAAATAGCTTGTTATAACTTTCTATCCGAACAATTTCTATCACCTGAATCAAGAATATTGAAAATAAGTTAATAATTTTAAGTGTAAACAGAATGTAGTACTTACTTAATATTATAAACAAAGTTAAAATAAATTGTTAAGCATAACTGAAAAATTCACTAAGTTTTAAGTTAATTTATAATCTGTGTAAAAATAGGGTCGTGATATAAACAGTTCTTATCATAGACAAAAAAAAGAAGGACCGTTTCGAACGTGCCGCGCTTTCTCGGTCCATCGGGCATCGCGTCAGCTGCCATTCAGCGCGCCGAGCGGACCACCGCGCGTCTACATATCGAGTTACCGTGTTGCCTTCCTGCCCTACGTCTAAGTTACGTCCGTTTGCCGCGCTGTCAGATGTCAGTGTGACAGTTGGTACTCTGTGGACATTTTTGGTTAACTGGGTGGCCTTAACATTTATGAAAGAATTTCTCAAATCAATCCAGGCGTCTTCAAGTAATCTGGGAACATAAATGATAAAAGGAAAATAACTATAGGCATGAAGCATTCAATATTTACTTAGATTTTTTGGTTCAAAGTTCAACCTGTAGTGTTTTAAAAACCATCATATAAATTGTCAAGGCGAACGATATAATATAACATAGACCGCTTATTGCTAAGGGATCATTAATAACAGTTAATACAAAACGTGGCTTAAATTATACCCTAAGTTTTAAAATGTGATTGTAAATTTAAATGCTAATATGGTAGACCTTCAAACTTTTAGTGAAAGTTAGTCATTTTAACATACTAATAACTTGAAACATACTTGATTCGTACACAAATAAAACAGTATTAAATTACACGTTATAAGTTGTACATTACACGCTATTCTGATTTCATGTCAATGGGACGACTTTATCATTGACATCGGTTTATAATCTTAATATCTCATTATTAGGCCACACATGTGACAATTTTATCTTTTAAATAGTCTTTCGTAATTAAGACATTAAAATGTTCTCTAAGCACCTTTACATAAAACCTTGATCTAATAGTAGGTAGGTTATCTTTCAAGTTTCAAAATGAGTATTGTCATTAAAACTGTACAATAAGAATTTTCTTTATGAATAAGGGGAAAAGACTGAGATTGGTGTACTTATAATGCAATCTTTGTGTCACAATATTTTTAACCCTCACTTTACAGTGTTAATATATATCTGTTTCTTGTTTAGTTTCCACGTTTATACCTCTATAGGTTATTTTATTTATTTAAACCTATATGTTAAGACAATTGTGGGTCTTGAGACAAGCTGAGGATATAGTGGTGTGGAAGCAGCAAGTCGACGTATCGGTTAGGGCTTTTCAAGTCCTTCAGTAATGTAGTCTTCGAAGAAGAGAAAGATGTTTCCAAACTGTAATTTAGCATAACCCTCGATTTGTTATCATATTAATTCTTAAACTGTTTTACTTAAGTCTTGTATACATCGTTCGCAACAGAGGATTAAAATCTATTTTAAAGTCATGCCTACTTCCACTTGATCAACGATTTAGATCGATCAAAAGTAATTTAATTTACGTCAAATATATAGCGCATTATTTTGTACACAGGTATCATCCATCAACCGAGTTCTACGAAACCTGGCAGCTCAGAAAGAGAAGTCAACAAACCAGCAACCGTCGTCTGATTGTTCCACCCCAGTGTATGAGAGATTACGGCTTTTGGGGACTCCGGGGTCCACGCCAAGTTGGCCTAGAGCCCCTTGGCCAGCTCAGATCGATACTCGCTCCCCTTATCAGCTTCACAGTCTAAGCCCTGGACCTCAGCTAGGCTGCAATGGCGATTTAACGGTGATGAAGAAAGGTGCGTGTTTAACATTTTAGTTCAATTCAATATTTTCTTAACAGTGCAATTTAATATTTAAAAAAAGCTTCGGCATTTAATTATTTTTAAAATTGTTGATATCACGTGTATTTTTATGGTCCTTTCTATAAACTCCAATGTTGTTTTTAGATCTTTAATAAATCTACTTTGGTGTAGGTACCTAATAGATAATATTCCACTGTTTAAGAAATGTATTGATCATTAAATTTTATTACTAAATTAATTTTAAGTTGTTTTTGTAGTAAAACATATTATTTCAATAGTCTCAACATGAAAAATAACGAATAACCAAAAGTTATTTCAAAGCGGAACCGTAAACCGCAGCTTTGGACAGACGGGAATAATTAAAAAAAACAGCAAAATGGCAATCCGCGTTCGGTCACAGTCTACAACTTTTTTCCTCGGCATTTTGATAGTCGATTTGCGGCTCTCCCCACCCCCACCCCCCGTCAAAAACATTACTCTGCCCATCCGCTTGGAAGATTTAATTTTCATTTTTATCTCAAACCATCCCCCTTTGTAGTGGTTTGTAGTCTGTATCCAATTAGGTTGGCTTTGAACATTTTTCTCAAACTCCGCAACTGTAGGAAACAGTTATGGAATTTTTAATTTCAATAGATTAGAGCAGTGTTTGCCGCGGGTGCAAGTCAAATAAATATTGATTTAAAATTCAAATGCTTTAAAACGTCATCAGCCAAGAAATACCATAAATTACGGCACAGATCTATAGAGTATTATTTTTTATCTGTAATTAAAATAAGAAGTAATAGTCATACTGCGACATAGAGCCTGATATCAAACTCAAACATAAACTCAAAATATCTTTATTAATGTAGGTAAACAAGTACCTACACTTATCTATGGTCAGAAAGAAGTTATCAAGTTTTCTTACATCCTTTTTGGTTAAGAAATTGTTCGTTCTTAAAATAGCACCTTAAAGCTCCAAGACAAGGTCAAAGGAGCCAAAGAATAAATCCATTAAGGACCAAAACTAAATAAAACGTACTGAAGGGAGGTGAATGCGTCGAAGCGAGACCGGTATACAAAACACGTCAAGTGCAAGCGGGACAAAACCTTGTCTGGCCTCTTAAGATAAGGCGAAGAAAAATGTCGCAGAATATTTATTCGGGTCCCTGATAAATGGTTATTATGGGGTTCCGTAGTAGTAAATTAGTGGGATATATGGTGTCGGTTGAATATTTATTTATGCGTTGAGTAAGTTATGGTATCGTTAGGGCTGACCGCGGTGAAATGGCACGGTTTATGGCCGCTTTATTGAGATCCGGGATATTGATTATGATAAAGCACTGTTAAGCTTTCCTTAGACAATAATGACATAAAACAACTGACAACATAGTTAACGCATTTATTTCTAAGTCTTAAAGATATATACCATTTTTTTTTGTTTTCTTTTCTATAGAAAAGTCCACATATTGTGTATCAAAAATATTTAACAAATTCAATGAACAAAACTCAGCCGGCCATTTTCCAACGTATAGATCACGTAGGTACTCAAACATACTCAAATCATCAGCTGTCAAAATGCTTTGACAGATGACAATAGAATTGAGTGTCATCTGCCTTTCATTTTTGTTGTCTGTGCCCATCCTACTACCTACTTGAAATCATAGTATAGACCGTTTTACTTAAAGAAAAAACCAGTGGTGCTACAACCTTTTTAGGTCTGGGCCTCAGATATGCCTGGCACACGCCGTCGACTTTTTGGGTTTGGCAACCTGGTTTCCTCACGATGTTTTCCTTCACCGTTCGAGCGAATGTTACCTAAATGCGCACATAGACAGAAAGTCCATTGGTGCACAGCCGGGGATCCAACCTACGACCTCAGGGATGAGAGTCGCATGCCGTAGCCACTAGGAATTAAAAAGAACTTATTCTCTTTGCGTAAACTATTAGTATGAAAACATAGGGAAAATTAATGACATCAAAAATTACTCTTACAGTAAAAAATCTTTTGAATTTGAACTTATTTTGCAACACACTCCTTAAATCTTCTTATATCAAAGGAAATATAGGATGGCGTGAATAAATATTATCGTAGATATTTCCATATTGAGAAGTTTACGTCAGACGTAGAAGTGACGCAAAATATATGTATATACTCTCAGACTTACTGGCACCGGGACTGAATATATGGTTTACTATATATAATTAAGTAATAGTAATCTGCCCAAACATTAACTTAAAGTATACTCTTTGGTATAAAATTACTTTAAGTTCACTTAACAACCCTTATTACTTCACATTAACACACATTTATCTATATTTTCTAAATATTAGAAATGTAATATATATAAAGCAGTGTTGGCCTAGTGGCTTCAGTGTGCGACACTCATCCCTGATCGTAGGTTCAAACCCGGCTGTGCACTAATTTACTTTCTATGTGCGCATTAAACATTCGCTCGTAAGTTGAAGGAAAACATCGTGAGTAAACAGCTTGCCTTAGACCCAAAAAGTCGATGGCGAGTGTCAATCATAGTAGGCTGATCACCTACTTGCCTATTAGTTTGACAAATGATCATGATACAGATACAGAAATCTGAAGCCCAGATTGTAGCGCCACTGGTTTTTTTAATATATAGAATAATAAAAATTGTTTTGAATCCAGTAATGATATAGTGTTTAGTATAATATAGTTATTTTATGTGTTCACTGTTGTGTTAATATATTCTAGCAATCTTTTAATATATTATGTGGCTATGTAAAGTGTAACTATTAAAAAAAATAGACTCTGCTTATAAAAAATACATACATTACTTTAGTACTGTTGATTGAGCAGTTAAGACGAAAAATTTGTTACGTCAGGGATAAAACGACCCTAGGAGAATGTCTTCTGAAATATTAGCAGAATTTTAAACAATATTTAACAGAAGAATTTGCATTTGAAGAATACTCGAATTCAGAAACGCATTCCGAATCACAGGCAAAAATCTGCATACAGAAAAATAGTTTCATAGATTCAAACTAGATTGCAGTTCGAATATTAAGAAAAAACTATTTATTCAACATTTTCCGAAGTCTTTGATCATCCGACTAAAAGGCTATATTTAGCATTAATACGAGTACATCTATTCAAAATACCTAACACGTAGCACAAACGCTATGTACATGTCGGCAGATACAAAGTACGCCGCAGCCCTTTGATCTGCGCTTATGTACTGTATATAACCCTTGCTTTTCGTATGTCTTCTGTTTTGATTCACTCACTTATGTAAATACATACTCTATACACTATTAACTATCAGTCTTTCTCTTTCTCAATAACTTTACTAACTAAAAACGTTTGGAAATAAATGTGTTATATTTTTTAAAGGTTTCAAAATTTAAGAATTGTTTAGAATTGGATAAATTTTGCTTTTATTTCTCAACAATGAGGGGATTAGAACACACTTTTGTTCTTATAACTCTAATGTTGCCTTTTCAAATAAATAATTGTGGCATTATGTAAATACGGCCGTAAAATTAAAAAAATATATATGACAAAACATTGTTAGGTACGTTCAAGGCTTTTTCAGTAAGCGTCACTGTCTATTAAAATAAATGTAAACTCCTAATAGACATATATCTACGGCAAAATAGCAATTAAAACGACCCAACACAAAATACGCTATTGTCCATACCACCAATGAGGGTGCACCCACCGTGAAATGCGATTAACGCTTTGACAGTAGATGTGTGAAGAACACTGTAGCTAAATGATCGTCGTACGTAAATACTAATGTATACCCCACGTATGTTCATTTGCGTTTTGTTAATCTGAGTTCAAAGAGATTTATCTCTAATAGAGGTTAGTTATGAGTGGAGAACTCCAGTCTCTGTATAAGATTTTACTGTGTACAAGTGGTCAATAGATAGATTAGTTCAATTTCAATGAAGCAGGATATATCTCTTATAATATTGAACTGTGTATTTTATGATTCATACTATGTAAGTTAGATGTAACTATAACTTCACCATTTAACTTATTTATCAAACTTTTCAAATCATTCAATAAATTGAATATTTGGTACAAAACTTTCTAAATTGCTTAATAATTTACGCAAATTTAAAACAAAGATTTAATGGACCAGTGAATATACTATCTCGCTCTTACAACTTAGTTACTATAATTAATGAAAATATGGATATATTTTACAATGATTTTACCGTAATTTTGAATATCACTCTCTTAATGAGGTTTAAATTTCTATTTGGTTTTAGTTATTTTGAGGTTTGCTTGTGTTTAATTATTTCCTTGGTAGAGTTATGTAGCCTAACATTAGTTATGTTGCATATGTATATATTTTTTTAGTTAATAATTATAAGCACATATCAAATATTACGGATCATCGCACTCTTAAATCCAAAATTAGCCCTTTAGTTTTGCCTACACTCATAAATTGTAATATAACATTATGTATCTGTTTGTGATGTTCAATAGGTCGACTACACCCATATTCCTTATATCATGTACGTGTCACTTAGATTTAAGAACCCTTAATAATAAGTCTTTTAGTTAGTTTTTTGTTAATCCAGCGTCGCAACACCTTATATATTTTAAGCATAAATGTTGTTTTAAGATAATATATAAAAGCTTTTATTCAAACAACATTAACATTATTTCTGATACCAAAGACTGGCCATAACACCTAAAAAAAATGTCCCAAAGATACAGTTCGTCAAACCTACTTATAATACTTAAAACTAAAAGTATCAATTAAAAGTGATTATATCGTGCACACTTGTAATAAACCAAAACGTAGCACGTTAATCGTGCGAACGGGTTGTACAAAGGGTTTAGCAGGGCCAATAACGCATGAAACAGGATTATAAAACATGAAAACGCTCGCTAAAGGGCGTTTTGAACAACCCTTCGCTTACATGTAATTATAGCTGTTAATTTACGAGTTTTGTATTTAGGATACCTTATTTAAACACAGTCTAATAACCGTACTCAGAGTTGTTATTTTGTATATAATGGT